GTTTAAAATGAGAGGACAGTCGAGCCAAGTCACTGTTTCGAAACAACTATGGGGCGGGTGGGGAGGAGTTGCAGCAATGTCCTTCTGCACCTCACACGTATTTCCAGCCTAGAAATTTCTAACGCCTGGGAGAGGGGTCCAGTACCAGACCCCCACTCCTCCTCTCCTTGCCAGGTACATGAGAAGAATACCAGAGCTGTTTGTCATACCAGTCAGCAAAAGGAAAGAGGATTTATCCTTTGCCAGGAAAATTTAAGAGGACTGCTAATTTATCAGACATCCACTAAGCAAGAGCTGATATGAAAAGCTCACTGGGATCCAAGTTATTAACCATTCCTGAAACCTTGACTGTGCTATTAGGAAAAACTTCTAACTGTACATAAACTCACATCTTATTGCTTTGGGAAACTCTTTTAAAATAAGTAGCAGCCCAGAGAGGTTGTGGAGTCTCCTTCTCTGGAGACATTCAAAACCCGCCTGGACGCCTTCCTGTGTAACCTCATCTAGGTGTTCCTGCTCCGGCAGGGGGATTGGACTGGATGATCTTTTGAGGTCCCTTCCAATCCCTAACATTCTGTGATTCTGTGATAAGAAGATTTTCCCATATACCCATGAGTTTTGAAATAGAAAACAGGAGATGCAGAAGGGAATACTCTGGCCTTTCACCTCTGGAGAGCCAGTTTAAGTACACACTGTTCCACACGTGCAAGTGATTTTCAAGCTCTATTTAGTGTCCTAGGCTGTTAATGTCTAAACTTCACGAACAGTGGCCTAGTCTAGTACAGTTATCATGACAGAGACTAAGCTCCGAAATAGGACAGGAGGTTTATGGCTTAAAATGCACTCTCTGAAGAGGTTTTTTCATTTCTACCTCTACCAGGGTTTATTCTAGTTCCTCAACCTGCAACAGAGCATTCCATGAGTTTACAGAAGGGCAAATTGGTGTTAAACATTTGCTACTTATGTTTTTCAACTCTTAGTCTGTCAAACTGTCAGGAAAACAACATTTCCTTCCATCAAGACAGGGATGTGCTGGGAATGAAAATAGACAACTGACATCCAAAATACTCTGACATGAGTTAGGAAGCATGCCTTTTACTGACACCAGGGGGAAATGTCACCGTGCTATGGCATAGAGGTTTGACTGTCCAAAGCTAGTGAGGTAGCACGGTATGAAATGATGAATTTGTACACCACACTGCTACTCTGATACCTAATTTATGCCCCCACCCCCCAAATCTCAAAAACTTGAGTGATATTAAGAAATTTCACACAGCTTACCCCACCTCTGGTTCAGTTAAAAAAAAAAAAAAAGGCACAGTGGCTGTACTTTTTCAGATTGTTTTGGGTAGAAAGATAATATAGCAATAGCCTGCTTCAAACATGATGGCTAGTCATACAACAGACAAAAGACTGTATTGTGATTCTGAGAACACTACTTTTAAATTCACAGCATATCCATTAAATCAGAAGATCACAGAACACAGAATCACAGAACATTAGGGATTGGAAGGGACGTCAAAAGATCATCTAGTCCAATCCCCAAGATGTGTATGTGCAGGTGAGAAAAGTTGTAGCACCAATGATCTTACAGTATAACAAAAGAAGACAAGCTATTAAAAAGCAATTGTTTTCTTATATGGAAGCTTCAGTGGAACAACAAAAAGAAAAAACCCAACTTGATATGTCATACATATTTACAAAAATCTATTTACATTGCTAGAACAATTTTGAAAGCCAGACTGGTGAGCAGGGAGTGCTACAGCTAGATATGTAGTATGAAATCTGTACTGTCATTATCTTAGAAGAGTAATCTTACTTAGTTTCATATAGTTTCATTACAATTAATCTTTAATCTCAATATTTGCTTATTTAGAAGCTGCGAAGTATGTCTAGCAAAGCCTATCCCAGGATGGTATTCTTGTATTAAGATGCCTTAAAACCAGACAGAGGACAAGAAAATAGCCTTTACTTCACTGACGAGAACATACATTTATTAAGTGAATAAAATGCTCTAGCCTCAATCCAGCTCAGCTGGTCATCTTGGTCTGGTACGTTCAAACAGAAAGGTTTTAGGAAGACAAAAATGTACACAGTCACTGAACAAAACAGCCTTATGTCACAAGCATCAATTCAGTATTGCCTTTAAAATAATATTCTTTGAGAGTTATAGGGAGGTAAAAAGTGTAAATAGACTTAAAGCTCAACCTGTGATACATGAATAAACCAGGATCTAGCAATTGGTGTCTGAAACAACAGCACCTTGGAGAGCAAGACACCTTTCCAGGAAACCAGGCAGAAAAAGTAATCTTTCATCCAGAGCTCTGTCTCACATAAGCATATGACTTTCACTGCAATTAAAAGCAATCCCCTGCCTGAAAGAAGGTTAAGCCTGTTCTCCCCCTACATGTAACTAACAAGATCAGGTGGGACATATGACCACATCTCAGTATAGTAGACACAAACAAACTTTACAGACACTTAAGCAATCCCAAATTACTTTCACCAACTAACAGCTGTCCATAATCAATCACCTCATCGTTACTTCACCAGTAGTTAAAACACTTTGCAGGATCTGAAATTAACAAGATTTCTAAAATAAAGAAAGAAATGTAAGCCTACATATTATGATATAAGCTATTAACTTACTAATAGGAATTCCAAAGAAACCTCGCAAGTGAGCAAGTTATAATACAAGTATCTGACCTTTGACACTGGAAACTCAGTCTGATCATGGGTTTGACCAAAATTCATCTATTTCTGAATCTTTTTCTATTGAAGTGCACTGAAGGATTCACTATTTGAGATTGCCAGTACTCAGTGAAAAAGAAAATGTGAATTACACATGAAGGAAGTTTTTAAATGTGCTAATCTAGTGTGCTACATGATCCCAGCTACAAATCAAAAGACATCACAGTATTCACTGGGAAAAGAGGGGAGGGAAGGATACCAAACACAAAAGTGTTTTCACTTAAAACAGGTGTCAGGGAGGAAGAGAAAAGGTAAGAAAATGAAGTACTACTCAGTGGTAAATTATGGCCTTGAACACACAATGTAATCTGGCAGGATGAACCCCACAGAGCCTCAATATATTAAGGGCACATATTGAATCAACCTCAGAACATATCAGAGTATATACACTGCTCACTATCAATAAGGTTTTTTCTCAGCTTCAAAATGTACAAAATATTTAAACTACCAAGACTGATACACCCTGAACTAGCTATCTGCCCTGCCTTATTTCTTTAAATGTGCCTATCTTCCTTCACAACCCTAACGTAAGCCCCCACAAGCTCTTGACAAGTGTCACACTGCAAGCTCTTTGTGGTACAGATGTTTTCTGATCGTGTTTTTTGAAACAGTTACCACTATTTATTTATTCAAATCAGGTCTATCAAGTATATTTTAATGGTAAAGAAGCTCTTTGAAATATTCTGGACAAGAAAACAAATAGAAACCTCATGATGAACACTACTACCTACTAGCAAGATGCAAATAAAAGGGCAAACACCAGAAAAAAAGATTCTGAGGCTAACCTTCATAGTGCAAACAGTCAAACAAACAAAACCCACATCACTAAAAAAAAATCACAGCTCCCACTAAAACTCAGGATATCTTACTGACAAGGACTTCAATTATATAGACATCAGCAGCAGACACAGGTAAAGACATTCAACAGGTCAGAGTAAGAGGTGAAAGGCAATTTCACATTGAAATCTACAGATAAACAAATTACCCATATCAGAAATTATATGAATGGCATGAATCCTGCATTTTGTTCTTCAATCTCACTGCTCACTCTTGTTCATCAAAGACTCTTCTAAGCAGGCCACAAACAGTAAGAAGGAAAAGCATATGGAGTGAACAAAAGCAAGTTGTTACACCAAAAAATATATAAGCTTATGAGTTTTTATCCTTTCCAAGCTCTCACTAACTTACTGTTGACTCATCTGTGAGGAAAAAAATAAAAATAAAAATCCTGTCTGATGAGAGCTGTGGACACTAACTTAGAATAGACCAAACTTTGGGCAAATAAATGCTGGAAGAACATTACCCATACACATGGTCACTTCTCTAATATCCTACATAAAGAGAACTGTAACAAAGTGAGTGAACATCTACACCAGGACTGAAAACTCCATCTCTTTTTGAAGAAAATGTAAAGGATATGGAAGTCAGAATAAAGTTGATCAAGCTGATGCAAGAAAACCAAAAGGAATGCAAAGTATTTATTCAGTAATACCAACATCCAATAGAAGGTATCTGCAACTACCTTTAAAAAAAGCTAAGATTTCTACTTCTCTTGAAGTGACATCACCAACTAATACTGCATTTCTCTTCCTCAGTATGAGAACTATGCATGACATCAGCCGAGATTTTTCAGGCCTTTAGAGCTGCTGCATGCCATGGTCTCAAGTGACTGTAGCTGAAAACCTCAGCTGAGGAGCTGGAAGGACTTTGTGGTGCAATAAACTATTACGTTACAAATAAGACAAGTTCTAAAACAAGAGCTTGAGAGGGAAATCTCCTTATCAACATTTCTGTTTACATGAAACAGAATCATGTACAAAGCCAGAGCAGTGCACTGCATAGCTGAAGCAAGCACCAGCAACATAATCAGCGTGATATCAAATGAGGAACAGGGCTGCTTTAAGAAACTCGGGTACTGCATCCTGCAGCTTACTGATTGTTGGGCTGAGTGAGACCCTGAAGCAGCAGATAAAGCTGATGTATTTGTTGTAAACTTTCCAGCATTCAGGCTTTATTTGTCCGAGCTTGATACTCCCTTTTGTGGGTGGAGAAGCCGAGGGACTGGCTGACGTCACCCAAAGAGCAGGGATAAAGTGCAGTGCCTGCAGCTGTGGGATGAGTAAAACTTCCTCAGAGGTGTACAAGGTCAGCTGCCCTCTCTGGCAGGTGCTCCACTGACAGCACCCTTCCTTGGGTCCTCACACAGACCAAAAGAAAAGAGAACAGCAATCAAGAAAAACCTATCCAGAATGCCTCAAAATGTTATTCTGCAAGGACCGGCACCCTGGGGATTCAGGCTCTCGGGAGGAATAGATTTTAACCAACCCCTAATCATAACCAGGGTATGTAGTCTTTCCATTCCCTTCTATTTATTACATTGATTAGTTATTGCAGACTTTTGCCTTTTCCTTTTCTAGAGCTCAGAGATGCAGATGAAGTTGTGAGTGGATTAGCAAGTAGCTGCTGGTTCTGAGGACGGCCAGCTGAATGCTAACAGTGTTTACAAGTTTTGTGTGGCGTGTTTCTGGGATTGCTGTATTGGTCTAAGATACTTTAATTGCATTTCTACTTATGCCTTAAAAATTAAATTCAGGTGCCTCGGTGGCAGAAACACTCTGGCATGATTCCATGTCTCCTTCTCTGGAGACATTCAAAACCCGCCTGGACGCCTTCCTGTGTAACCTCATCTAGGTGTTCCTGCTCCGGCAGGGGGATTGGACTGGATGATCTTTTGAGGTCCCTTCCAATCCCTAACGTTCTGTGATTCTGTGATGATTTCCCCATGCATTCAGTTGAGAAAATTAGTTTTGAGGCTACTAAAGGCCAGCCCCTACTTTTATCATTTTCATGACTATCCTCCGTGATCACTGGGGGATAAGACTACTTGGCAGCAGCTCCTCGTGTCTGGAAGTTTGTGCTTTGCAAACTGTGCCAACTTTACAAGCTTAACCTGGCTCTCATTTAATTAAATTAAGTTCTGGTTATTGGCAGCAAAGGCAACAGCACCTGTTCTCACATATGTAAAGGTTTTTACTTTCATGAATGTTAAATCGGTGAATTATTAGAAAGTTATCCAGTCCTGAATATGAAGGAGAGAGTTTTTTGGTGTTTTCTGCCATATTTAGAAACAGAAAATTTACCTTACCCCCTAATAAAGGGCAAGAATCCAAGCCTTCATTTCTTCATTAATTTCGAGCTGTTAATTGCAGTTTATTTGAGAAACTAGTTACTCAATGAATAAAGCATATAAAGCATTGTCAGCTACCCTGCTTCTACAGACCTAGATCTACTCAAAAGACAGGGCATGTGTTTTGATAATTTTTATATTTTGAAAAATATGTTCAATGCACATCAGACCAGAATTAGTTTTTCTGTTATTTTTGCTGCTTTTCAGAGCCTCAGACACACTGAGTGTGAGCCTCCAAATCACCAATGCCTTTTTTTTCAAAGCCCTACACTATGACTCAATATATACACTATGCCTGGTATTAAATAAATGACAAGAGCCTTGAAGGATGGGTACCGCTTGTGATGTTTTGCACTAAATATGTTTCTAAACAAGAGTCCGTAGGAAGTTTAAGGACCAACCTTTCATGTATTATACTAGTAAAAATTAATTTCATTTTAACACTTGCTCCAGATGTATATAAGCATAAAAGACTTTAATTATTTTAAACAGAAGTAAACCAAAATGCTGTTATTTGACTGTATGCTAGCTTCATAACAAATACTCTAGGACACAGCAAAACCTTTGGAGAAATAGGAGACCTACATATTGAATTAAAAAAAAAAAAAAGGAAAAAGAAAAAATCTCTGGATGTTTTGGGGCCTTCATTGCCTTTTATGGGCCTCTAGAAGAAAAAGTTTCCATTATCTCTAATGAAAAATATTCTAGTGGTGTCTGGTTTGTATTTTCTTTGTGTTTAGATTAAGTGCAATGAAGTTTAAAACTGCAATAACAAAGGATGTTACTATACATGTAGCTTTCTAAAGAATAAACAATTTTGCAATTGACACATACCTACCAAATGTCTCACAAGACACAAGACACCGGTTTCTAGCATATTACAGGAATGCTTAAACTCACATTTCATGTAGAAATATGAAATAAATATATATATATAGGGGAAAATGACATGTTTAAGTTTGCTTAGCTCAAGTTCAAAAATATTAATGATAGTTTTGTTTAAAATTACTACTTTTAGTGCGACAGCATACATTTAGAAGAGTCCCTAAATAAGTATTCATGTAGTACCCATGAAGCAACAGTGAATATTTTGCAAGATTCATATGCCTTGTATCTGGGGGCCTAGGTGTCCCTTTCATAAAAGGTATCACCAGGAGCCCGCTCATATTTGGCTTAACTGTCCTGACAAAAAAAAAGTTAGCCATTAAAATAATAAATAGAAATTATTTTTAAACACATTTTGAATAAAATAATTGGATAGGTATTAAGTTTGTTTGACTGTAGTCCTTGTTCAACAAAGGAAAGCTTTTACTAGGGCTTGTCAAGAGAGACAGACAACATAAAAGATCATCATCCACCTGTCTAAAGAACAGATGTCATCTCAAAAACTCATGTGCTATTTCCCAAGCAAGGCAATCCTCTTGACTACTTCAAGCAAATGCAAAAACCACAGATCATGATCACTGGAAGGGTAAGAAGAACAAGAGGGGACTAAAAATAGAGATATTGATATTCTATTAGGGTCACAAACAACAAGTTAGCTAGAAATAATGAAAACGTTTCTTGAAATCCTTGGAACTTCACATAGATGCAAATAAATTACATCAATGAAAATTATCGTAACTCTAGTCTTAGTGAAATGGAATTGTTTCAGTTTATTCTGACCAGAAGATAATATTTTGTGTTAAGTGTTTAGAGGAATGCAATCCTAGAATTTAATTCCTATTGAATAAACCATTATAGAAACAAAACTTCTGAGACTGAAGGAAATGGTGAAATATAATCAACCCTAGATTTAAGTTTGATTTTAATATAAACCTTTTCAGATCACAATGCAAGTATTTATATTAACTCAATTTTATATTTAGCCACTCTGGCTGCACACATTCATAACTCTTCTCAGAAAGCACAGAGCCTGAAGTATTTATGAGGGCATGTCATGATGAGCTTCACAAGTCTGTTAACAGATGCAGAGAAGTTTTCTTCAAAGTTTCATAGGATACATTGCCCTCACATGGCTAAATAGTTATTAAGTCTCTGACAACATCTGAATGCTCAACACATATCCTTATATTTATCCAAATCTGAGATTCTTAGGATACAAAATCAACAGGCGTCATACAGACATGTCCTGAAGAGCAAGGCAAAAATTTTCCCACAGCACCAGTAGAATCTACTTCATGAAGCACGAGAGAGCAAGTAACAAACACTACAACCATAATATGACCCACGTGTTCACAATACACGTTTCATGTGTCACTAGTAAATTCCTTAAGAAACAATATCAGATTATTGAAGTACCCACAATATCAATATTATACCTATGATATGGCGTGATCTTGCAATGCACAACCTGGTTCCTTTCTATAAAATGTAGGCTGCAATACTTCTGTCTGCTCCCCTTGCCCACGGGCAAAAGTCAGGATTTCCCCCTAAAATATTAAGGGGAGAAAAGAGCTGCTACCTGGTCATATTCCTCCTATTCCATCCTACTGATAGATCTCCAGCTCTTTCCATCACCCCAGGAAAAGCAGATGAGGGAAAGGATTATATGGGTGCAGGTAGCTCTGCATCCCAGAAGGCCTCAGCATGTAGAGCTCAGCACTCCCATCAAGGCTTTAAGACCCAACATACATGTCCCAGAAGCCTAGCAATAATCAATTCAGCTAACAAATAGGAAATAAAACTACCCCTTTCTCTCCTTGTTCCCACCAAATGATGGTAACCCCAAGCAACCATATAGTGGTATCACTGCAGCTGGTGACAATATGCTAAGAAAATCCAAGGAATTGTGCATTATTACCAGCAACACAGAGTGGGTTAGGTTCTACCAGCAGCACAGCTACAGAGAAATGTACCATCCTAGACAGATATGCTACTTTATAAGGCAGGATCATTCTCTCAGTACATCGCTGCAGTAAGCTGCAGACACAGCAGATGATTTGCTGTGACATGCAAAACTCATAATCTACTGAGTAACCTATATAAGGGTTATTGAAGCGAGCTTACTCTTGAGAGGGAACCAAGAATGACTGGGTTTGCCCATTTTGGGCATTAAAGCATCAACAGTCACATTCAAACGCCAGGAATTCTGCTGCAATTTGTCATTGCACGTATGTCCACAATGTACTAACCAAAGTCAGGAGCCATTCCAGGTTAAAGGGAGAAGTATGACCTACGCTTCTCTAATTGCAATAATGTAAGTGGTCTCAGGGCAGTTCATTTACACTTACATTTGAGAAACTGACAATTTTGGAGACTTCAGACTCAGAATTTATGAGCAACTTCCTTGTTTCATACTCAAACAGATTATTCAGGCACCTTAACACTTTGTGAAGCATGCAATAAACAAGTCCATTCTTTAGGAGGGTGAGGGGGTTAAAGCTTCCAGCTGGCCACAGGTACCTATTTGGAAAGTTTACTTGACTTGATAATAGCACATGCATTGCAGTTTGTTACAGTGAAATAAAAAAAAAGTTTACATGCTGGAATGCAGAAAAAAGCTCCCAAAACAAACCCATCTGACAGAGAGGTACAGCTGGAAAGAGGGGAGCATGACACTATTTTGATTATTTTTGCCTTTGTTTCAATACTAATACAGTGCAATATATATCAAAAAGAGTATTTTTATTTGACTTCTATGCTGATAGTGAGTGCTGTCACCTTCAGAGGCAGCAAGTCTGCCTGATTCACCGTAGCTGGGGATCAGAACATACTGGAGGTATACTAGGCAACACCAGAATTGAAGAACATCTCCGTAGCACGTTTTCCAGTCCTCCATACACTTAACTACTTTTAATAATTGAGAGGTAGCACTTGCTTTGTTTGTAGCAGAACTCATGGTAAGAAATTCTCTCCAATATCTTTTCTTACTTCATACATGGCACAGATCAGAGAACTGCTCTTGTAAGTAAGACTGTATTTTTTTTGTCCTTCACACTGGGATTTATGTACTTAAAAATAAGCAGCACATGTTATTTTAGATAAAATTAAAGAACTGTTCACATGGTGAGGTGGTACAAGAAGTCACCTGTTTGCAAATAAAGGCCTGCAAATGCAGAACAAGCTTTAGTAGCATTTAAGGTCATTCTCTCTCTAGAGGAGTCATTTTAAAACAGAGTTATGTTGCATTTCAGTTATTTTAACCATGGTGTAGAAGATTACCAACAAGAACAAAAAACAAAACAAAACGGAAAACAAACAAACGAAAAAACCAAACAAACAAAAAACAAACAAAAAAGAAAACCAACAAGCATAGAAAGATAAGCTTAGGGCTCTTTCTGTGAACATCACTGACATTGGTACCTTTCTGCAAGGTATGAATTGCACCACACAGATCACCTTGAAGGATCAGGGCCACTGTTATTTGAATGCAATGGAACTTGAAGCTAAGCACTTAAAGGAGTTCAGGGTCTGAATTAGACATGAATAAAGAGAAAAATGTTATTTTAGTATCATTAGCGTATTTATGGTATGCTTAGCAATACAATATGAGAGGCCAGGCTAGCAGAAAACATACTAACTGTAGTATTTATCCTTAAATATGGTAAGACCACAAGTGGCTTTCTATGTCGTCCAGTCAATGGCACACCATGCACATGAACATTAAGTAGCACAATTTCTTAACAGTTCTGTTCTTCTGCTGTTGCCTGGAGTTTTAAGGGAAAAACTTAACTTATTTTAAAGCAAATTACACAATGAAGCATGAGACAGAAGATTCAAAGAAAGTTACAGTAACTACAGGAATCAGAGTGGAAGCTATTTAATATACAAGTGTGAAGATAATTTCTATCTAATTTCAAGTTATGATGAATGAAGCATTTATATGATGATCTGACAGCAGAACTATAGAGTGTCTTCCAGAATTAAAGACTCACTTTTTTTTTTTTAAGCAATCATATAGTTGTTTACAGGCCTACTCCCTCCCTCTTGCCCCAACCCAACAGGAATTACGGAATCATGGTGAAGTTTATTTTCTCTATCAATTTTCAGATATGCATGGTGCTTAAGCAGTTATATTTTGTTTTTTTTCAGATTACACCTGGAAGCAAGGCTTCAGCTGCTAACCTGTGTCCTGGTGACGTTATTGTAGCTATTGATGGCCTAAGCACAGAGAACATGACACATAATGATGCTCAGGAGAGAATTAAAGCAGCTGCACATCAGCTATGTTTGAAAATAGAGAGGTATGTGTACATGTCTGCTTACTTCTGGAAGAAGATACTACCCAACCAACTGATTATGCAATGCAATCATTATATAAAACAAATATTTCAAACAGTTTTAAGAATTTCACAAAACCTTTAAAACTACAAATGCCCAGGCCTACCTCACCAACTCCAGATCAGGCAGAATATGCCTTCTTGGGCATAAAAAGAGCAGCTTCTCTCAGACTACTCTCCACAGCTATTGAGTGTGAACCATACCACCTACTACCTCTGTTGTCCACACAAGTCCTATGTTTGCTGTCAGGAATCAAGCAGTCCTTCGTATTTTTGGGAAGTAATAAAACCCTCATCTAGCTGTCACTTGTTCAGCTACCTTTATGCTCAAACACTCCCTCAGCCACTGGTGCTTAACATTGCCTCCTCCTCCCAGTCACAGACAAAGCCACCAGTATATCCTCCCAGTTAAGAAAAGCAATATTATGTCAGACTTTCATAAAGGGTGACAAAGGAGGTGGTTTAAAGCCAGCTTCTTCAATCACAATGTATTAAATCAAACACAGGATTCTCAAAGCAATGTTTAAGAAAAAAACAAAAAAGAAATAAAAAATCCTGTCTTTACTTGAACTATAGGAGTCCAGAAACTTTTTGTGTTAATTTCTCTCAACTGAAGCCAGCAAGAGGAACAACCTGCACCTTCACATCTCCTCCCTGAGTGTGCCCAGACTTTAATCAGAATCACCTGGTGCACTTTTTCAGCTGTCTCCAAGAATCAGACAGCTGGGATTGATCTGAGGTCCTCAGGGAGGAACAACACTTGTTACAGCTGACCACAGTATTCACTTCCAAATACAGCAGGGTGTGGGTTTTGGGTTTGTTTTTTGGTTTTGGTTTTGGTTTTGGTTTTGGTTTTGGTTTTGGTTTTGGTTTTGGGGAGGGGTTGTTGTTGTTTTTTGTGGGGTTTTTCTGTTTGGTTTGGTTGGTTTTGATTTTGTTGGGTTTTTTTTCTGAAGGAGCATTGTCTAATTACTAGAGTACATATCACCATTAAAAAACTCCTGTAGTTAATTCCAGGTTCTGTTACAGGTTTATGTCATTTAGCAACACTCTTAGGAGTGATTTTCAAAATAGGATAAGTATAACTGTGCCTATGAAATATGTGCTTATTTTTAAACTGCTAAATATTTGTATTCATATAACAAACAGTACTAGATTAATATTTAACAATAATATTACATTACTTTAAAACTAGCTGTCACATTGTGCTTTGTCAATGAAGACAGAATTGTAACTGGCATTTGCATGTTTGTTATCTCTGGTTCAGTGACTGAAAGAATCATCTGTGCATCTTCTATTCACACATATACTTTGCATACTTAGCTTGCACTTCTCCTACACTGAAAATCAGGTTTTGCATGGATATTGTAGTCAGGAAATATAGATTTATATTGTTCTGGTTTAGGATTATTACTCATATATTAACTTATTTGTGCAAAATATTCTGAGGACCCAACATTCCTTCTATCAACCATTAAAAAACCAAAACCATAAAAGTTTGGTCAGCTCAGGTCAGAAATGCACTAATTTCCCTTTGCCTTTGCATTTGGTAACCACTGTTCATAGTATACACTATTTTGTAAAAAGTAAATACACTTTTTATGTATTGTTTACATATAGTACACTATATATACTGTTGAAGTATTTTTATATCAAAACATTTAAAAAGCATAGAACAAACCACAAATTTTCAAGTTGCATTATGTTTTACAGGGACATATACAACTCTATAGAAATGCAAGTTATTTAAATTCTGCTTGCTTGCTTGCTTTCCAGGACAGGAACTAAATTATGGTCTCCAAAAGTTACAGAAGATGGCAAAGCACATCCCTTCAAAATAAATTTGGAAGCTGAACCACAGGTATGAATTGCTAAAAGTTACCTAACCATTTCCATTTGCTTTTTTACACTCTAAATGATCTCCCTTATGGTCATCAAAATTCTTTAAATAGCATTTAATCCATTACCTGCCAGTTTAAGCTAATACAAACAATCGTGATTATATTTATGAACATCAATTTATCTGACTGGATGTTTTTGATTTTTCAGCTATAACTGAAACAAAGTTACAACACATTCTAATTTTTCTTTAAAACTGGAGATATCACCATAGTTTCATTATGAAAAGAAAATATGTCCTTTCGGTTTTATACAGTTTAAGTTGTTTTAACTTTATTAGAGATTTTTCATCATATGAAGAAGTTCTTCAATCAGGAATAAATTGCAAGTGCCAAATCAATGCACTTATCACATCAGAAAAGTAATTTTGCTGTAACTATCAGTTAGAGAGATCTATTAATGTTGGGTCTCTACTTCCACACATTTTTGAACTATGCCACAAAACTGAAACTCACAAATTTGTATGAAACCCCTGTACCAATCAATAAGCAAATGATTGACCACTTCTGACTGCCAAACTCTTAATCCTTGTATATGACCAACGCAAATCCAATCAATTGAAACCCTCCTCTCTCTTCAAACTCACACCCAGTCCCTTGTGCAAAGCCATGAGCCAAAGTCTCCGTGTTGTTAATAGTTAACTAGCAAGCTACTGTCTACAACAGTGCTTTGTTCCCATGCCATTCCTCTTTAATCTACATGAACATTGGCTGTTCTCTGAAGAGAGGGAAGGGAAGAACATTCTGCTGATCCTGGAAGGCCAGGATCAAAGCAAGTATGTCAAAGTATTTATTCTGTGCTATCCTAGAAAAAAATGTAAGTGCAGATTCCATGACAATAAATCCTACACAGTAAATACTTCCACCAATTTTGTTTTCACGGAGACATTCCCAGACATGAATATGGTGTTTCAGTGTTCCAGTTCTCTCTCTTCTTTCCAATCTTAAAACTTGCAGTACAGCGAAATTCATCAGAAATAACATCGCCTCTTCAGCAGTAGGAAATAGTATAGTGAAGAAACAAAACTACTTAAATGCATATTTTTGTGGAACAGCTGATAAACATCTAAGTACTGTGCCCACTTGCAGCTATGCAACAAGGAACCTTTACAGCATAGCAAACTTTTACCTTAGGCTGAGCATCTCCATAGAGTCATTTTGAGATTGATATAGGCCATTGTCGTAGCATAGTGAAAACTGTCACTAATTTTTTCTTCTGGGAAGAAGAAACTGAGGCAAAAATTCCAATAAATAACTCAGAGCAGTAAGTGGTTGACTGAGAGGCACTCTTGAAAGCTACACATTCCCATATAAAAACTAGCCACCTAATTTTGTTAGTCCTTAGCAACCTGTAGTGTGATGGACAATCCATAATAGAAAACAATAATAGGAAATAATAGACTACTTGAAGTATTACTAATACAATCACATCATGTTCTGTATGTAAGCAATTTAGTTCATAGGGTTCTCAGAGAATATAATTAGGAAGAGAAAATAAAACAATCTAAATGGCAAATTGTACATTATTAAATTATTTTTAAAGATTTTCTATGGTACTGTCAATATAAAACAATACTATGACCTATAATTTTTTCCTCAGTTACAATCCCTTTAACCTCATCTAAAATGAATTTGTTTCCATTACCACAATTTCTTGAATTGTTTTTGTTTAGGCTTTTCTTTTTTGCCTCTATCTTTGCCTTTGAACATTTTGTTCGGTGTGACTAGGCTTTTGGCCATAGAAAGACATTATACATTCCTGAGAGATATAAATACACACATAGATAAGTATAAAAATAAAAAAATTTAAAAACCCAGAAATACCCACTATTCTAAAAAGTAAGTTTATAGTCTATTATCACATGTAATCAAGTTTTGAAACAATATAACTGTGCTTATCTAGTTTTGAGGATCTACTCCTCTTCCATAGCAGCATTCAGAGATAAAGATTTTAGTCACATGACACTTCCAAAATGTAAACATCTATGTACTGTCATAGCAGTTATCCACAAAGAATGCCATAGTATGGTCCACGTTGGATGCATTTCTACAGACTTTGGGGGCTACATTCATTTCTATTCCTGATATCTGTATCAATGCAAAATGTAGTTAGCCCTGCAAAAAGGACATCAGCTAGAAAAAAATTAAGAAATTAAATACCATAATTCTCCAATATTCCTGATTAGGAATTTCAGCAAACTCTAGTTCTCGTTTAGCTTTTGAACTAAAGGAGGACTTTTCACAAATTCAATGAGATCAAACAAACACAAGAGCTGGACTATTTTTGCTGCTGTATGTTGTGTCACTGACAATTTATATGAATATATAAGTTAAAAAGCAAACAGAAGTCTGTCTAACTGCAAATACTTGTTTCATCATTGTTATATTGTAAACATGCTATTATGGTGCCACATGTCTTCTGTGCTGTTCATTTGTCAATATGAAATAAAAAAGGAGATGAAATTGCAACGTTCACGGTTTTGTTTGTTTTGTATCATACATGGATTTAAATCAATTTTAAATACTTTGACATTAATGTCTTTCATTAAGTAGACATGATCCTAAACACTAGTAGATTATTTCCGTTTACTAATACGTTAATTGCAACTCCGTTCTATCAGACAGAAACAAAGAACTGCAAGTAAAATCTTTGTGCTCATTTATCTGATTGCCGCTTTCAGTAGCCTCTTATGGTGCAATGCTGCTAAACATTTTCATTTAATAAAACTGCTTTTTACTGTTTGCATTTTCTGGTTGCACATTCTATATATCCATGATTTTTCTTTAGGTCTGTTCCTAAATATATGTCTGAAACTGTTGTTTTAAATTAAAAGGGCCAATTCACATTCAGGTTTTCATAATATTTATATATTATTCACAAAAACTTTGAAAAGAGACTTGATATTGTCTGAGAAAGGAAATAATGCTCAGAGGAATAAAACAAAATCTGCAGATGCCAAAAAATGGTGCATGCTTATCTAACCTGCTCTTATTATCTTTATTTATACTGTGGATTTGAGCATTCAAGTACATGTTTTGGTTTTTGGTAATAGGCTCTATTTTTTCTAACTGGAAATTTTTCTAGTATTTCTAACGACTCAGGTAATTTAAAAAGGCATTTCTGCACCAAAAAACCCCCACTTTGTTTAAAGATTTATTTAGCAGAACAAGGAGACTAGTTTGTACAGCTTTCAACAGATAAGTGAAAGAACAAAATTGCATCTGAATAATTTAAAAGCTGAAGATGTTGTGTGTGTCATCATTAAAAATGTATGATAGCAAATACCAGACAGCATAAACTGTACATAGTGATTAAGCCCAAAGCTCTGGTACCTAAGATATAAGCTTCAACAATTTGAAGTAAATCTCATTCTTCGGTATCTAACTGCCTGCAGGTCGTATGAGACAGTGGGATAGCAACCCAAATACAGAAATGGTCTATCAATCATACTGTAAATGTATTCCTCGTACACCCATCACGCTCAAAACCAAAGCCAAATCAGAGAATTGGGAAAGATTTCTATGAAAATTGAAATATTAGTGACCTGCGCTATCTTAACATTGCAAGTTCCAGTCTCTAAAGAAGAGACCAATTCAGATTCCTATTTGTTAGGAATAAAGGCTTTTTATTTCATATGGAATGAAGTTCAAGTGTTGTTACAGGAGTTTCCAAAGAGCACTACAGGACATCAGGACAAGGGGATGTACTACAGCAGCAAACGTTCTTCACCCACTAGCACAGAAGGAAAAAAAAACAAAAAACCTCAGCAGATGACAGCACTATTTTCTCCAATATCCGTATTTCTGTGGATTAGGAATGGGCCTGAGCTGACAGGGACTTAAAGGACACTGTACTAAACATGCACAATAAAAATAAGTGAATTTTCACACAGACAACAGTCTTTATCATTCTTGGCCAATCACTACAGAAGAACATTATAAGTTATCTGAAAGGTCATCAGGGATTTTGCTTCCAGATCTTATCCCTGTGAATTCCACAACTGGAGAAAATTATCTGGCCCAACAATAAACAAAATCATATTCCAGAAATAAACAAACATAGGCAGAATGATTTCCAAGTTACCCATTTCTGGGTTTTACTTATTTATGATGTCACATTATCTTTAAATTATACAATATCACAATTTTTGATGGAAAAGTTAGCTTCAAAGTATGGAATAAGCTCAGAAGAATGTCCTCAATCTGATGTACATTCAAGACTAGTTTCAGTTAAAAGAAGTGTTTAAAAATGCGTGTTTACTAGGCAAGACATTGACAATAAAATCCTCATACTTTTGTGAGTCCCTCCATCAGTATGTGACAAAAATGCAGAAACCAGAGAGTAGCACTAAAGCAAAGCAAATGAGCTAACTACCCATGAAATATTTCTAATAGAAGAATGTAAACAGTGCAAAATCTAGAGAATAATACAACAGGTTACTATAATATTCGTCCCTCCCATTTCATCTTAAAGTTGCACCTTATTTACAAATGTGGAATGTCTTCTCTTTGTGTTGAGGCAGGAAAATAATTGTCTCTGAATGTGTAAGGCTTAAGTTGCATATAGAAAATTCATGGCAAAATATATAGTATGCTTGCACCAGTTAAAAATAACAAAGTTGCAAAAGTAAAAAATGCAGAGATTAACAATACTGATGTTGTCAGTTGTACTCGTTACAGCTTTGGTGTGCATTGTAGCTTTGTGTATTTTGTCTGCCTATCATGTACAGGAATTCAAGCCTATTGGTACAGCTCACAACAGAAGGGCCCAGCCTTTTGTTGCAGCAGCAAATATTGATGACAAAAGACAGGTAGTGAGCTCCTCCTATAATTCTCCAATTGGGCTGTATTCATCTGGCAATATTCAAGATGCGCTTCATGGACAACTGAGGGGTCTCATTCCTAACTCATCGCAAAAGTGAGTATTGGTATTTTCTTATCCTACATGGTCAATTGTGGTATATCACTGTATGTTCTGTTTTCAGTTGAAAAGTCCAGCTCTTGCTGTTTTTTTCAATAATCAGAAAGTATATTGATTATCCAAAATAAAAAATGGTGATAAATGAAGCCATTTTTTCCAACACAGAAAACTATCCGTTCAGCTCTGCAGTAGCACCACTGCAGGTAGCTAAAATTTCCCCTCCATGTTGGGCTGCAACACTACCTACCAATCTTGTCTCTTGTAACGGCACTTTACTCTGAATGTTTCTGAACATTAAAGTGATTGTATTTTGAGTACCAGGAATGTACAAACTAAACACATTTACTTCATGGTTACAATTTTAAAACTTTTTTGGCTACCTTTTAACTAGAAATAAGCATTTATAGGCCAAAGAAAGTTATTTTAACCCTCTTTTCTTTACAGGATATCAACTACTTTGAACACAAGCATAATATTCGGCCCAAACCTTTCATAGTCTCAGGCCGAAGCAGGTTAAAAACTCTGAGTGTTGTGCTGGATTTGGATGCATGGTGGTTTTTTTTTAATGGTTACTCACCATTCGCATTAATAAAGCATACTGATGTATTTGAAATTTACTTATAGCATATAGCCTAACACTGAAATTTTTAAAAAATGAAATGGTTGACTTGCAGAGATTGGGCTTGAAATTCAACTTTCTATTTCCAGAAGAAAGCAGTTCCACACGTCCGTCACAGTTGCACTGATAGGAGTTTGAAGTTACTGTATTCATGAACCTGATTCAGCTTACAGCATAGCACCAGATATTGTATACTTATACATCTGCAGCATTCTGAAATTCTTCTGCCCAAATGCAAACACATTTAAATTGTTAACTTGCTAAGTAAAAGATAGCTAGCAATATAAGTCATCATCTAGGCCATTTAGAGGTTTTAAGTTTGCTTTTTGCCAGACCTTTATTCAGAAGGCAACCCAACACAAAGCTAAAACAGGAGAACTCTCTGATACCACAGACATGTAAATTCTAAAATGCAGAAAAGCTTATATACAAACATACATCATTTTAGCATAATATTCTTCTCTCATAACTGGGGATGAAATGCCTCGCTTAGTATTACTTACATTATTAAATACAGTTAAATGCAAACTCTGTGGCTAATAATGCAAGGAAGCACCTGAGTGATGCAATACATCATGATATTACCCTTTATCCTTTCTAACAGTAACAGTTTTTACCAGTGGACTTAATGTCCTACATTTAATTCTGAAAGTTTAAAATGCTTGCATTTCAAGTACACTAATTTATATCTGACAAACTAGACCAGAAAAACAGGATGATAATTGATTCTAGTGTACAAAGGACAATCGCATACAGATTATCTGTTTTGCGAGATGTGTTACATTTTTCAACTACCTGAGTGATAAGGAGAAGGCTGTAGAAGATGGACAGACTCCCATCCTTGTGTGAACAAGAACTATCAGTGTAGAACCCCACCGCAGTGCAGAAGAGGTGCCCATCGCTCCCTCCAGTCTGATGCTGATACAGGATAAATGACAAAACAGTCCTTAGCAAACATGCTTGGCCTCTCACAGTAGGCAGCATTTACGTACTGTACCTAACCTGACTTTTATACCATCAGGTACCATTTACAGGTACCATTGGATTAATCAAGATTCAAATGAGTATCAAGAGCCCAATCTCCTAATTCAGAAACCTCAATTACACAATATTTTCCATGAAAATATTGGAGTAAATGGCCATTTTCCAGCATGTCAGAAGTGGAAAAAAACCTTCAAAAATTAACCTGACAGCGATACAAGAAGTTTCAGAACCTCAGCTGGGCAAGGTCTGTCAGGAGTTGTAGCACTGGAGAAGTCTGCATTTACAAACTGCAGAATCTCTGACACAGGGTGCTACATCTACAAAACCTTGGTTGTCACACTGTTTGCCTACTACTTTTTCATCAGTTTGTCTCAGTATATATCCCCTGCTAGACACAGCAAAAACCAAGGTGCCACCTTGACTGTACAAATCCCTTTAGAACAGGGAGTTGAGGCTAAACAGGACTTTGACTAAAAGACAAGGTGATTCTGGACTCTGAGTATGAGCTAACGGAGGAGACATTAGCCACAATTCTGGACTCTACTCTGGCAAAACTAACTAGGAATTATATTTAATATATGATTATATTTTATTTATACTTTACTTATAACTTATTCTCTTTTAGCATTACTTTGGCTGCTCATAGCAGGAGTTGTGCTTTTTCTAGTTTTTTCCTGCTACTTTCCATTTACTAATACTATCAGTACTGACAAAACTTATTCTACTGCAGGATCTAAAGGTGGTCTTGATTCTTCTAAAAGAAAAGACTGCAAATTTATGAGTTGCCTCCATGCGATTTTTTGGGCTGGCTCATGCTAGGTGATGATGCAGAACTGTGCTTTTGCTTTAAGGTCTACTATTTCTGGAATTAGCTTTCTTTTGATACGTTTTTGATGGTAGAAACATCATTTTTGAGAAAGTGGTCCTACACAAATTCCTATCCTCATCAAAGGAAGAATCTATGGTCTTCTCCACCCAAGAGTAGCTTGGCAGAGTACTGTACTATCAAATGGGGAAATCGAGTATTCTCCCAGGTTTACACAGAATCATTCAGCTTGGAAAGAACTAACCACAACCCTGATATGCATCTTGGAGGAAAGAGCTAAAGCATTTCCCATCTCGTAGCTCTGAATATCACGTAAGTGGTAACCAACAACCATGGAAAGCCTGGGTTATGTGCTGTTACACAGCAACCGCAAAGAAATATCCCATAACAAAGCAAGCCTCTGAGGTACTATGGAGAAAAGGCTGAAGTATTCAAAATAGTGACACTGAAAATTACTTTGGGCTTAATGTTCACATTATTTTACTAATCCTTTTCCAGAGATGTCAAATTGGTGTGGAGTAACTTTACTTCAGTAATGTTAAGCAACATTAATATTTATTAAAAAAACATACCTCTTTTTTATTAGATAGAAATTACATGTAAAATCTACTTCAAAAGCAGTAAAATTAATTCTCTGAATATATATTCATTGTTCTTGTGAAGGACCGCTTACATCTTACTGGAAACTCTGTAATTCGGAAATGCAAAAGTATGCCTGCCTGTTTTAGTATCTTTTCTTCTTTGAAATGTTAAACAAGTATTAAAAACCTTAAATACATTGTTAAAATATTTTTTTAAGATTAATAAATATCTTATTGTAGAATTTAAGGAAATCTAGGAAACATCACATTCATTATTTTACTCTACTTTATAGCAGTCTCTTCAAGGGTGGACTAAGATGGAGGTGAGGTACAGGACTGGAATGACGTGCCTAGGATTCCAGTACTGAAGATGTTTGTTCTGTCACTGACATGGACAGTTCCCATAACCTTTGTACGCTGCCCTTTTGAAGATGTTGAGAACTACTCATCTAGAACAAAGTATTTTAGGGAGGCTTGATTCATGCCCAAGAAAATCTAGCATTAAAAATGTAAAGTAATACTATGTTCTGCATTATTCAATCTATCAAAGATTTTTTTACCACCTTTAAAGAAAATGCATACCAGAATTTTATGGACTGCTTTATAACTGGCATTGATACTTTTTAGAGGAAAATCCTCTTCAATGAATACACATACTTTTGCTTTTCTCTGCTTTCTCTACTTTTGCTTTTCTGTATCTGTTCTATTTACACTTTTCAGCCCTGTTAACATCACCATATTCCTGTACTTTTGTCTTTATTCTCTATAATCTGACATGCATTGCACACTCTTCCGTAATCTGGCTATTAACACAGCGGATGCAGCACTCCCTCAGGGATTGACTGTGGCAGTGGACGCAGCACCCCCTCCTCAATTAGCACTGTCAGCTCCATCTGCCCCACCGAGTTGAAGGCAGTGTCTAAGATGGCCCCTAACATTCCCCTGGAAATGGAGCTTCCCGGTGTCAAGATTGTACACGCTCAGTTTAATACACCCATGCAGTTGTACTCAGATGACAATATCATGGAAACACTGCAAGGCCAAGTTTCTACAGCTCTGGGGGAAACACCCGTAATAAGGTAACTAGAGCAGTATTTTCAATATTTATTAATATACAGATTTAGAAGATATCAACAATCATATCACGCTGTTTCTATGACAATGGGTGAAAGGGTCGGAGAGAACCTAAATCATTTAAAGACAGTCAATATTTTCATTAAAATATTACTATTTTTTACCCAAAGTATTAGAGGAGTCTTTCAGAACTTACAAATAAGTACTTCATAGGAAATAACCTTATATTTGTAGCTAATAAATAAAAACCGATGACGCAACTTGGACTATTAGCTGACTTACCATTCCAAATCAAGACTCGGATTCCCTCCAAAATTCAAAATTCTTTATTATTGTTATAATAATTATTTAATAACCAGTTAATAACTTGTTCATAGTAATAATTAATAAAATATTATTAACTCACATTTATTTCAACTGTTGAAATTCAAGTGATGAAGCTTAGGAAATCTTGTAGATACTTATAGCATTCTAGATATTGAACTCCCATTCGGGACAACTTACTCAGTATGACTAGATCTTGTCCAAAAAGAGCCAAACTTGACTTTGTAGGATGACTAATCCATCTCTGATTTACAATTTTATCCATTGCAATGACTAAAAGTAGGAACCTTATGTATCTAGATGACAAATAATGATTAAACAATGAAGAGTTTCGAAACACAAATCTTTTTTTTTTCTAAGGGACAATTCATCATTCACGTGGCTTTATCTTTACTTTTGCATAATAGTAACTTATTTTTCTGTTTTACAACAGTACTTAAGTTAATAATTCATAATATGTATGGTGTAAACTAAGGTTAATCACTAATATTTTAAATAAGCAATAATCACTGGCACCAATGAGCCTTCTTCAGCACCTTGCAAAACTGGGCTGTTACTAACCATAAAAATCATATTTATATAGAAGTATTTAAGTTCACTCTACCTGATGAAAAGAAAACCGTAGTTCATTAACTCTTTGCAGAGTGATGTTACTCTACTGCATGAATATTTATCTTCAATCACAACAATTAGAGAATGATTAAAAAAACTTGCTTTTTCTGTATTCTGGCTCATGGCTTAAACCCAGAGTAATTGGATTTCACAAATACCTGTGTCATTCCCAGTTTGAGAACTGACTCTCTGAGCAGGTTTGAAATGCTGGTTTTCACTATGTATGCATTTAGAAATACTGTCCCACACCTTTGTGTTACATGGTAGAATGTAATTGTATTATCACTTCTTTGATGTTTAGAAATATTTCAGTAAAGAGGAGAGAATCAAGGATTTAGTCAGCCATTGGTGAGAACTGTAAAAAAAACAAAGCTCCTGCTATTCATTAAAAGCTTGTGACAAGAGAAGAAAGTGGTGGTTTCTTCACCAGCTTAAAGACAGCTCAGAGAAATCTGATTGACGAAGATGCAAACAACTAACATAAGCAACAGGGGGCACTGCTCGACAGCGGTTGCTCGTACTGTGCCACCGACAGCTCAGATGCTGTCCTGGGAAACAAACTAAACCGTCCAAAGCAAAACCCATCTAATTCCGTGTGGAATTAATCCCTTATTTCCAGTGAAAACTTACCTAAGGTTCAAAAGACAGTAGGAGGCCAGTTGTAACAGGAAATTTAAACTGGACGTTTATGTATATATCAGTGAGATAAGACTTCATTGAAGTCAATTTGGATGTTTCTAATTAGTCCCAGTAGCAGGCTGACATTTACAGATGCCGCACATTCAGCCTAATTCCTGACAATGCATATAGTCATCTACTCAACTACTTAAGATTCTAGTTATCACGATCAATTTAAAGCATTTAGCACCATTTAAAATACCCAGATCACTGAAAATTCAACCATCAACTGTTGTTTGGACAATAACTTACTTTATATTTTTATCATAAAATTGGCATTACAAAAATTAAGACATGACCCATTCTGATTAAATTTAAAAAGAGAAATTCCATTCATCTGTGTTCTCTTTACAACGCTTCCTACTATGCGATACCCACTTCACTTTTTTTTGTCATCTCCAGAAGTTAAATAAGTAGCAATTATCTTAGCCAAATAATCACTGTATTAACTAGTGATCAAGCCAACTTAGAAAAGTAAGAGCAGCTTCACATCACGATACTCTTCCTAAAGATTTGATTGCTTAGGTTTTGGCTGATGTTATGCAAAGATGTGAGCTGTGATTTTAACAACATTCTTGAGGCCAGCTGCTGTGAAAATGGAACTTTTGGATACCGTACCAAAGAGCACCTGGTAATACAGCAGTTGATCACAGGAATGAAAGTGCTTAGAGGTTAAACACAGGTACTGGGCTATTTCCAAATGCTGTTAGAGCCAGAACAGTAACTCTGGAAATATTTTCCTAAGTCAGTTGATTTATTTTCATAACAATCGCACAGGATTTTTTTTTTTATTTCAGCACTTTTTAGATCAAAAGAAGGCTATATAAAGCAATGCTACCTGGAAGAAAGTCTTTCAGTAGTTGTAGAAACTTCTTATCTTTATGTTTCCTGAATCATATTCTATGCCTGGTAGAGTTACTGCTTTAAAATTATGTCAATTGCCTTGTCTGCTCTTCCCCCCTGTGCTACAGTGACCCATCACCCAACTCGGTGCCTCAGTCTGATGTGTACAGGATGCTGCATGGCAACCAGGAGGAGCCCAGCCAACCTCGCCAGTCTGGCTCCTTTAAGGTGCTCCAGAATTTAGTCTCCGAGGAAGGTGGTTAATAAAGACATATTCTACCTGTTCAAAGCCTTGTTAAATGTTTGTGGGAAGGGGGAATCTGAGAATAAAATATGAGAGATCAGAGCTATAAGAATGTCTGAAAGCCCAAGTTGTTCTGAATCTTTCAGATAACAGTCCAGCCTCCTAACATTTCCCCCCCTTTGCTTTTATAGCTAACAGTCTCCTGTATGAATAAAATGGGGGTGTTAATGACATTTTTCAGAATCTCTTCTCAGATTTTAAGATCATTACTGTACAAAGTTGATTTTAATTGAATAACAAAACATTTTATGCAAGAGAAATTTTGGGACAAACTGCAGATACTCATTACACCAAGAAATAAAACACTCTCTTCCACATCCAGGAAAAGAAAAATTTAAACCAATTCCTAAAATATGTTTCACCAAAGCTCTTTTCATTCTAAATAAAAATCAAAGAGAACAATATAATTTACAGACATATTTCCTTCAAATGAAGAAATTCTGACAGAAATATTACTAAAGGCTACAAGTGCGTTATATTTAGAGTAAGTGTAAAGAATAAAATACAACCAAAATTAACCTAAAGGGTAAATATTGAGATATAAAAATTATAAATTATAAAATTATCCCTTCTCACCAGAGAAGAGATAAATACATCTAATTTTATATATAACACTGTGGGATTTTGCTTGGCATTTGCTTGTATTTTGATATAATTTTGTATTCCTATCGTGTTACTATTCTTTCTGAATTTGTTGTATGGTTAGTTGTATAAATAAGAAGCTGTCTAACAATAGGTCTTGTCTATGTTATGTTGCTATCTTAAAGCCAAATCCTCCTCCTTCTCTTGCTATACCCAAGCCCTACTATCAGAGAATTAGATTATGTTTATGAGACAGCGAGCACTCTATGTGTAATCACTTCTGTACTTTATTTTTGGCTACAGCCACACAATATTTTTCCTGATTTGAAAGAGGTAGATTCTAGTTTGCCAAACGTCATTGTTGATATAAGTGAAAGTCTGTAAATGCAACCAGAAGTGTATTTACAGGAAAACTACTTAACTGCAGCAGACGCTTTTGTATTAGCCTGTCCCTAACAGGATTGTTTTGGTTCTCAGATGGACGCCCCGTGGGCACAAGAAGTGTGAAAGCACCTGTAACAAAGATACCTACTGCCATGCCTGGTGTCCAGAAAGTGCCACTGTGTGACAAGTGTGGGAACGGCATTCTGTAAGTTGCTGCTTCTTAGTGTTAGAAATCTCTAGTTCAAATACATGTCCTCAAACACCACAGAATCACAGAATCACAGAAC